TAGGTACTTCTTTACTTTGTGCCCCAGTCCTGACATTAACAAAAGACACTCAAAATTTTGCAAGGGGAATACAATGAGGGCAAACCTTGCATACAGCTAACTGATGACCGACTTATTACTATACTGGATAGGGTAAATCTTTGCCTTTAATTCCAGCCTTCAAATTGTCCAAAACGGTTGTAAACATTTTCAAATATGTGAACTCTGTATAAGTAGCAACATGTGGGGTGATGATCACATTTTGCATCGTCAAAAGAGGATGGTCTTTAGAAAGATTATCTGGTTCTGTTACATCCAGGGCGGCTCCTCTGATGACTCCATTCCGTAATGCAGCTGTCAGGTCATCATGATTGACAGTTCCACCACGACCCACATTAATCAGTGTGGCTGTGGGTTTCATAAGACATAGTTCCTTTGATGAAATGATATGCTTGGTTTGATCAGTATATGGCAAGCATAAAATGACAAAGTCTGACTTTTGCAACAGTTTCTTCAAGTCTAGGCAGAATGAAACACCTAAAATGAATACCAAAAGTTAATAACATGGGAGTAATTTGTTATTTGTCTTTTGGAGTCATTCAGGTTTATTTGTAAGAAGGAATTTATTTATGATTTTATTTTATTTAGCTTTGCAAGTGTTTGTTAGGTGAATGTAACTGCGAGAAGACAGTTAATATTAGAGTCTCATTACCATGCACCCATAACAGTCACCCCCCTCCCGCCTTCGTGAAAGGTTGACCACATTTTGAATTTGAATACTAATGTGGATTCTCATACAGTTGAACCTCTCCACAACGGCCACTAGGGGGGGGTAGGGATGCAAAATGACAAGATTAGGAAGTACAGCATGCTCTTCTGTGCTAACTGTGTCCCATAATCATGGTAATCCAATCGTATATAATGTATAGAGATAAAATACACAAAAAGCTTGAATTATGTCTTGAATTAAAATATTAACGTGCCAAAACGAGCAAGGGAAGGTGAGCGAGCAAAGATACCGCCACTCGATTTAGTAGGGTAAAATCGCCTTCGTAGGCTGGTGCGAGTTCGAAGAGCGCGTCAAAGGCAGGTCTTGGAGGGTTAAAGGAAGAGTAGCATAACACAACGGGACGTGAAGCCATCGTTTCCAATCGGTGCAAGTTGAGTTCTGCAAGCAGAAACAGAAACGTACGTGATACTAATGGGTAACTTCCGGTACACAGATTTCTTAGCGACAATGTACATGTTTTCTTTTCTTGTGATGACTTACATCGCTTTTATTATGTGAGCCTTATTCTTTTTTTCTTTCCCTTTTTTTCACAATATTGGTCAATATTGATACAATGACAAACATGTCGATACCAGAAGAGAAAAAAAAAAACGTTTCTTTAAAATCTTGGTGGATCTGCCGTAGAACACGGATGATAGCACCGTGCTCAACCTACCTTGCTATTACTGTTCAGTGTATCTGAATTATCGCCTTATTTTAATATTTTTATTCCTTACAGATCTTCCAATGGAGTTCACCAGTATTTCCGAAGTTATGTTTTATCGGGTAGAGTAACAACACCAGTTCTCCAATAATCTGACTGAGTAAACGCACGTTTAAAAAGCAACGAATTCAGTAAACAAAAGTTCAATGTTTGGGTGATAGCATTGTCTGATAAATCTCTTTACACGATGTTCATTGCTCTTGCTCATGCCAAAGAGTTGGCAGAGTTAGACACCCCCAGTGGTTAACAAAATTTTATACGCGATGGCTTCGCCCCGAGGTCCAAACCCTTACCTTTTTATATACCATCTTTGACAGAAAAGGTACTCTTTTCGTATATCTTTTATTGGCAAATGGTACCCCTTTCACACAGTAAATAGAACACTGCACCCCTAGATGCACCGTCTGTTAAATATGACTAAATCAGAGGGTATAAAACAAAAGAAGCAAGGCTGATTTTACAGTCGGGAATATTAAATATATATATTTACCAATATTTCGGAAGGCACGGCCATCCTTCTTCAGGGTTTTACATATAACGAAGAGGTTAAGCTAAGACGTTACAATTTAAAAATTAAAGAATAGCGTGCAATATGATACTATAATAACACGTGAAAATTAAAATGAGAAAAAAGGGAACGTTGAAAACAAAAACCGTTGAAGTAGTGATAGGAAAGAAATTTGAAATGTAAAAATACAGTGAAACCCCGCCTTACGGCCACCTCAGTAATACGGTCACCTCGTTATTACGACGCTTTTTTTTGGCCGCCTGGCATTATTGCCATACATTTTCTTGTAAAAAAAAAACCTCGTTAATACGGCCACCCCGTTTATACGGCCAATTTTTTTTGCCCCATTGGCGACCGTATTAAGGGGGTTCCACTGTAGTATAAATAAATGATAACAAATAGAAGAAATAAAGACTATATTACATTTCATCTTTCTTATTCACACCTGATGGTTCAAGAGTTTTACCTCTCTCGATGAGGTATGCTTCTCTAGCTTTTCGTACACTGTCTCTATTACATTTAATGAGCTCTATAAATTAGAGGAGCCCATTCATGGAAATCACTAAATCAGGAAGTTTTCTTGGTTTTTTTTTTTTGACAGCCATAAACTCTTTTTAACCCTTTAGGTCCTTTCATATACCGCAATGACAGATTTCCCTACCCTTTCGTTACTTCAAATAGTGACATCCCTACGCAGTTTCATGTACCTGAAGCCTGAAAAAAGTAACCCCCTTCGGGCAAAGCCTCCCTGTATAAGCCATTATAGGGAGTAGCCCCCCACACGGTTATACATAGAAATAGCAGACATATTTCGTCACCATGAGCTTTGGAACCAAAAAATTAAGGGATTGGGTCAATTTGTTTATTTAAGGGGGGTGGGGTTGGGAGATTGCTGTTTACATTAAAGGGGGTAGTAATGCAAAAAAATAGACTCCAGATTTTAGAGTAAGGTTGTCATCTGAAGTATCTGCTCGACCTATTTCTTGCCCCTGCCCCTCATTACTCCACATATCCTTTTTAACCTCAGAAACTCCCAAATGAAATCCTAGTTGCGCCCTCGCAGTAAAACAGGTGGAGAAGTCACGTGACAAATGAGGATGACTCTGGAACTTCCCCGTCCACCCGATCTCATCTAAAGGAAGGTGGGATTCATCATACTAGTTTTTGCTTAATAACTTGGCCTGATGAAAAAGCAGTTGTTCATAAGCCAGCACAATCGACCTCGCGGATGCCAATAGCAATCCAAAAGCAAATTCGGCAACAGCGTCAATTTGATGGAAACTTCGGCCAATACCAACACCTCGATCTGTAGCTTAAGTTCATATGAGAACGTGAGAACGAGGGTTAATAGCGTGCCACCTTTCATATATAAATAAACATACATACTTTTCTCAAGGTATCATAAAAATAAAAGATACCAAAATAACACCGTGAAAAGGAGATTAAAGAGGTGGAGCCTGGGCTATCTTAACACATGCTGGCCAGCTTTGAACAGCCCTAGCCCAGCCCTGTAGTATACATTTGTTTCTTATTAGTCTCGCATGCGTAAGCAGCGAGACTCATAATCTGCAACGCGTTTTTCGCCCCGGCGGGGCAGTCCCTTATATAGGCTATATAGGTATGTGCGGCGCCAAAGGGAATGGTTTTTTTTTTTAGCCGTTTTGATCTGAAATAGGGTATCAATTTCTACCATTTTGGTCTGAAATAGGGTATGGTTTGTGCTTTCTAGTCTTGAATTGGGTATGTTTTTTAGAAGAATTAGCTACTTCTTCATCATTAGGCGATAAGACCATTTCCCTTTTAATGTTTTACGCCAACTACCGTGTACGTGCCGTAAAAGCTTATCACTCGCTCCGGTCACGCGCCGGGCGCCAGGGCTTCAGGTCTGAAATAGGATATCAAATTTTTGATCAGGTTTTGAAATAGGGTAGGGAAAATAAGAGATTTTGGTCCGAAATAGGGTAAGGGTTTCAGGAAGAATGCCGCAATCCCCACCCAATTTTTCTAGAAGTACCCCCGGAATTTTTGGTCGTATTTAGGACACAAAAGAGAGGTCTTTGTGCCAGGCGTTCCTTGCGGAGACCGTGGAAACTGTTGCCTGCGTGCAGACGTCTCCTATTTCCTTTGTTGCACGCGGAAAAGGGACGTGCAACAAAGGAAATAGGAGACGTCTGCACGCAGGCAATGGAAACTGGGACTAAGAATCGTTGCGTGATGTTTGCGAAGAAAGCTTAGGAAAGATTAAATTTAGAGCTTTTCCGAAACGTGTCGGGCCACGAATTCTATCGCTTGAAAGCGTTGATTACTTTGGAACAAGTGAACACCACTGAGTGGTCGAAAAAAAATAAGAATCTTAATTAGGTATGTGTTTTAGAAGAATTAGCTACTTTTTCATCATTTGGCGATAAGACCGTTTCCCTTTTAAAGTTTACGCCAACTACCGTGTACGTGCCGTAACAGCTAGTCACTAGTCACTGTATGCAAATAGCTCTTGTGATGAGCATGCGATTTATTTTCGGCGATGATTGAAATGACGTGCCATATAAATCACTTTTCCTTTTTGGATATCAGACAATGATGTAATTTCTCTGGAATCGAGGCCCTTGAATTTTCATGTATTTGTATACGCGTATAGCCTGCCGGCTACCGCAGAGGTATTTCTGGTCGTCGCTAACACGCGTACTAAATCAATTCAGAAACAAATAAAAAGTATCGACGTCCCGGATCGACGTCGATAAAATGGGAAGTAAAAAACCTTGAGCGAGTAAATCATGTTTATTGTAGAATTAATCGCCTCCTCATTTCTCGATCTAATCTCCACGCAGGCGAGACTGAGAACCGCTGTATGCGCGTTCTTGTTGCATAAAAAATTTTCAACAACATTCACTTATGATAGAACTAGCTTTTTTATACCTTTTTGCGCTCCAGATATGAAAAAATGGGCACCAAAAAGGAAGATCCAATAGTTATAAAGGTATTTGCATGTATTAGCTAACTGATAATATTAATATTTAATTGATTTAATACACAGGATAAGGTAATTCTTCACCTCTGATTCCTGCCCTTAAATTATCCAAAGCAGATGTTAACATTTTTACCAATGAAGTCTCTGTATAAAAAGCAATATGTGGGGTGATGATCACATTTTGCATTGTAAAAAGAGGATGGTCTTTCGGAAGACTAGCTGGCTCTGTAACATCCAGTGCGGCACCTCTGATGACTCCATTTTGTAATGCGGCTTTCAGGTCATCATGATTGACAGTTCCACCACGACCCACATTAATCAGTGTGGCTGTGGGTTTCATAAGACATAGTTCCTTTGATGAAATGATATGCTTGGTATGATCAGTATATGGCAAACATAAAATGACAAAGTCTGACTCTTGCAAAAGTTCCTTCAAGTCTGGACAGAATGAAACACCTGAAATGCATACCAAAAGTAAAAATGGCACAACAATAATTATTATTTTTTAACTATATTATTTTGGACCTATTTTGTTTTAGTTGTATGAAGTGGTTTATTTAACGTTTTACAATCATATACTTCTTATTTAATTTTGTTTTGCTTTGCCAAATGTTGTCTAGGTAACAGAAACAGCATAAAGGCAATTACTATGCACCAATAACAGTCTACCTACTACTTCCCTGCTCTTTTTTAACAAAACTGTGGGTTCTTTTATGTCCCTTTCAAATTAATAAGCAAGGTTGAAGTAAACGAGCTGAATAGTTTAACATCATCATCAGTCAATAGCAAGATCATCTGAACTAAGTAAAGGTTTTAATCAGAGCCACATTCATTGTTAAATAAAAGATTGCCAGGGAAAAGGCTGCGGGTGACTTCAGACAGCTAACTACTAAATTCTCCTTCCACTTTTCCTTGTGTATATTTGGAAACCAAAGGGAGAATTTAACATCCAATCAGGGGTCTTTTAGGGCCTTACTCCATACACCCCTTCCCAGTTCCTTCAGGATTGGGGTTGAGCTGGGGGCGAACCACCTGTTTTTTTAATGTGAGCAAGACATTCAGCCAAGTCAGGGGCTGGAAGGAAGGTTCAGAAAACAGTTACTGGTTGTTTCAATACAAGTCGTTTTGAGACAAGTTTATTCAGTCGAGGCGTAAAAAGTTTCATCTACTTGGCTTAGAAAAGGAAGAATATTCACCCCAACTGTTTTTCTTGTTCACATGCAAACTACCGTATTTTCTCGAATAGTAACCGAGGGCGATTATTTCTTTTTTCGCACAAAAAGGGGGCGATTATTTCAAATATTGCTCACTGGAAGTCGTGCCCTAAATATATCATTTTATTTTCCCATAAAAATAGAAAATAATCACATCAAATCAACTGAACATGGGCTTTTTAAGCATTCCAAATTTAGTTCCTTGATTAATTTTCTGAGTTTGAATCGTCACTGGTCATTTTTGCTGAATCTCATTCCACTTCAACTTGACAGGGCGAAGGGGATAAAAGGAAGAGACAAGAGTGAGAGGGGCGGGGGGGGGGCATTTTTTTAAATATTTTAATCAGAGGGGGGGGATTATTTTGAACGGAAGCACAACAGTCAGAACTCTGATCACATCACTAAGTCGTTAACGGATTGTGTCTCCACAAAATCTACAAGATTGGCACATTTTATTATTTTAAATATTTTCATCAAAGGCGGGGGATTATTCAAGGGAGGCAATTAATCAAATCAAGGGATGGCTATTATTTGAGAAAATACGGTATACTTGAAGTGGTCTAAATTTTACTGCAATTGCAATGCTTGAGTTTGTATCGAAATGACTTGTATCGAATCGAACAGTTTCCAGGAAAACTCCTCTTTGCCAGGGGCTGGAGGTTAGGTTGAGAAGAGCTAATATTCAGAAGCCAAAAGAAGGTCTAAATGACAAACTTTTGTCTGTACCCTATGCACCACTGAGCATGGAAATGACATCGAATGATGATGGTCAAAAAAAATTTTACCTAACTGTTTCTCTTGATCCTCTTTCCGAGTGCGACTGTAGTACAAGATCTCCATTTTGAATCCTTTTGCTTTTTCAGCAACTGCTTTTCCAATATTCCCAAAACCAATAATGCCCAGAGTAGAACCAGTAACTTGCTGTATAGGGCTGAACATTCCTATTTTTTGCTAATTGCAAACAGTCAAGTGGTAACGTTTCAGTAATAAGGGCTTGATATAAAAACAATAATATTGCTTTTAATTGTCATAATCTTGTTTTATTATTATTATTATTGGTGTAGGAAGTTTCCCATAATTACATATTGGTTTTACTGTGGAAAGTTAAGCATCACATTTTTTTGCTTTGTAGCAGATGAATTTCCATAACATCCACATGTTCAATTTACGCAGAAATCTTAGAAGTCGTCATGTATAAATACAGCCATTGAGATTAACATAACCAAGATGTGCATGGGCTGGAAAGAGGGCACAACAAGCACATTAGGAAAGCACACATCACCAAGATAAAACTTTCCAAAAGTAAGCCCACCATTATGGGAGAATAGTTACTTGGCACTAGTATAAGGTTTGCCTTTTTTTTTCTCACAATAGTATGAACATCTTGCTCAGCCTGTCAGTTTCTTTGCAGTGCAGTGAAGGACTGCTTCGTTCACAAAAGAACTGTGCTCTAGCAATAATTATTGTTAGCTTAGCCTTATATCTATTCCAATTAAGAAGGTATGTTAAAAGGGTACCATTTTTAAATGGAAGTTAAATGAAAAGGGGTACCTTTTATGTCAAAAATTGTATATGAAAGGGTACAGATTTGGACCACCCCCGTATAAAACTTTGTTAAGTAGCTCCCCTCCCATGGGAAACAAGCTCTCAGGGCAGGCATTCGTGCAGAGCATACACTGCATACACACTGTGGTGGAGAAAAGAAGGCAATTAGAAGCAGGTCAAGGGAGAGAGCTAGCAGTAGCAGAATATCTTTTCATTTTCAGATCTTGGAGTGGGGTCCGTCAGTATTTAATACACCCCCATGTGGAGCCCCTACCCTTTAGTAACTCCAGATCTCTTTTTTAACCCTGGAGACTCCCAAATCAATTCCTACATGCACCCCTGTCAGTTAATCAATATAACTGAAAGTCTAACTTCTAAAAGACATAGGAAGATAACTTTGCAACCCCCTTTTTGAACATTATGCTTTTATTTGCCCACTAAAATACTCCCCCTTGAGGTATCATCCACCATTCGTCCACTTTTCAGGACCGTCTTCGCGCAGATCGCGCTAGCGCTTGTAGCTTTAATATTTTACCCAGGGCACAAAAAATTAGAAAAATGTTGCCTAAATAATATTTTTACATTGGGCGCCCCATAACATATACCGGTTTCAGTTAAAGTTATTGCTTACTTACTTGGCCTGATGAGAAAACAGTCGTTCTAGCGATCTCATTAGCCAGCACAATCGACCTCGCAGACGCCAATAGCAATCCGAAAGCAAATTCGGCGACAGAGTCACTTGTAAAATGCCCAGGACTTCGCCCTACACGAATACCACGATCTGTGGCTGCTTGTACGTCAATGTGATTTATACCCGCGCTTGGAGTGCTAATGACCTTTAAATTTGGTAGCAAGTTTATGATCTCTTTTCCCACCTTGCGGTGAGTACGGTTAATTGCCCCGGTAGAGACTAATATCCCTTCTATCTTTGCTCGTTCATCTTCACTGAGATCGGTCACGGCTACTTCATCCAGTAGTGTAAAATCGCCTTCGTAGGCTGGTGTGAGTTCGAAGAGCAAGTCAAAGGCCGGTACTGGAGAGGTAAAGGAAGAGTAGCATAACACAACGGGACGTGAAGCCATCGTGTTCTTCAAGCAGAAGCAGAAGCACACACGTGCGTGACACTTATAGCTAACTTCCGGTACCCAGATTTCTTAGCGACAATGTTCATGTTTTCTGTCCTTGTAATGACTTACATCGCTTTTATTATGTGAGCCTTATTCTTTTTTTTCCCCTTTTTTTCACAATATTGATACAACGACAAACATGTCAACACCAGAAGAGAAAAAAAAAACGTTTCTTTANAGCAAGTTTATGATCTCTTTTCCCACCTTGCGGTGAGTACGGTTAATTGCCCCGGTAGAGACTAATATCCCTTCTATCTTTGCTCGTTCATCTTCACTGAGATCGGTCACGGCTACTTCATCCAGTAGTGTAAAATCGCCTTCATAGGCTGGTGCGAGTTCGAAGAGCAAGTCAAAGGCCGGTACTGGAGAGGTAAAGGAAGAGTAGCATAACACAACGGGACGTGAAGCCATCGTGTTCTTCAAGCAGAAGCAGAAGCACACACGTGCGTGACACTTATAGCTAACTTCCGGTACCCAGATTTCTTAGCGACAATGTTCATGTTTTCTGTCCTTGTAATGACTTACATCGCTTTTATTATGTGAGCCTTATTCTTTTTTTTCCCCTTTTTTTCACAATATTGATACAACGACAAACATGTCAACACCAGAAGAGAAAAAAAAAACGTTTCTTTAGGAATTCCAGTCTCACGCAACATTGCGTTCCACTCTCCAGCCACAGGTGATCCAAGCGCACCTAATTGTCACAACTAACCGGAACACGCACAATGTCTGCAAAAAAAGTGCGGAACTTTCTCAGAATCGGAAACCTTGGTGGATCTGCCGTAGAACACGGATGATAGCACCGTGCTCAACCTACCTTGCTGTTTTCTCTCCAGCCACAGGTGACCCAAGCGCACCGAATTGTCACAACTAACCGGAACACGCACAATGTCTGCAAAAAAAGTGCGGAACTTTCTCAGAATCGGAAACCTTGGTGGATCTGCCGTAGAACACAGATGATAGCACCGTGCTCAACCTACCTTGCTGTTATTGTTCAGTGTATCTGAATTGTCGCCTGATTTTAATATTTATATTGCTTACAGATCTTCCAATGGAGTTCACCAGTATTTTCGAAGTCTTTTATCGGGTAGAGTGACAACACCAGTTCTATAATAATCTGACTGAGTAAACGCAACGAATTCAATAAACAAAATTTTCGATGTTTAGGTGATGGCATTGTCTGATAAGTCTCTTTACACGATGTTCATTGCTCATGCCAGGGCCCGGTTGCATAAAACGCCCGTAACAACTGCGGGTACACGTACGTGCACTCGTAACTTAAGTCAGTTGCATTAAATTACTTAAGTGGCCCACTTAGGGAATTCACTTAAGTGTCGTTTATGCAACAGAAGTTGCGGGTGTTGCATAAAACCTTTTTTACGGGAAAAATAGCACGTAAATTTACGAGGTCCCGTATCGTTACTGTTTGTACTAAACTTGAGGAGATCTTTTACTGAGAAGTGAAAAATGTATTTTTCTTCACGTTATTCATTCTGATGCGCTTTGTAACCTCTGATGTACACTTTAAAGCCGACGTTGTGAAAAAAGAAGAAGAACTATCATTTTCAGTAGATATTGAAGAAACATAAAGTCTGCATGCAAATTTCATTTTTTTGAGAGGCTTAAAAGTGTTCGAAACGACTTAAAACTTTCTTTACACTCACCGATGGTTAGCTTAAAGTTCTTAAAGTTCAAGTTCTTCGCGGAACCCTAAACGAGACCTTGGCGGCTTAAAATATTGGCGCTTTGCCCGGAACACCCTAAGAGAGACCAAAATCCAAAATTTATACCCCTAAGCGAGACGACCAGCATCCCCGTCTGTTTCATATGGGAGTCCCCCCCCCCGGGCCTTTTATATACCATTTTCGACAGAAAAGGTACTCTTCTCGTATATCTTTTATTGGCAAATGGTACCCCTTTCATAGTAAATAGAACACTGCATCCCTAAAATGTGTAAATGCACCATCTATTAAATATGACTAAATCAGAGGAGCCCATTCATCTTAATCACTAAATCAGAAGTTTTCTTTTTTTTTTTGACAACCATAAACGTCTTTCTGTTAACCCTTTTAGGTCTTTTTAAATACCGCAATGACAGATTTCCCTACCCTTTCATTACTTCAAATAGTGAAATCCTCACCCTTTCATATACCTGACACCTGAAAAAAGTAACCCTTTTGGGCGGAGCCTCCCTGTGTAAGCCATTATAGGGAGTAGCCCCCCACAGGGTTACACATAGAAATAGCAGACATATTTCACATTTCTTGAAATAAAAAAAGTCCAAAAAAGAAGCTTGTTGGGGATTTTTTTTTTCTGATAAATCTCTCCACCAAGTTTGAATGACTTGGGCAAGCTGTGATGAGCCACACCTCTGATGCAAGCTGCTGAACATGAGTCATGCCTTAATTCAAGTGTAGTAAACGTTAACAGGGATTGGAATAGTGACCATTGACAGGAACCCTAAACGGATGCAAGTGGTAAGCTTCAGAAAATCGAATAGTACAGAAAAGGGTAAACAAGAAAATTCATTTCCTCTTTTATGAACAAACATAGGTACTTCTTTACTTTGTGCCCCAGTCCTGACATTAACAAAAGACACTCAAAATTTTGCAAGGGGAATACAATGAGGGCAAACCTTGCATACAGCTAACTGATGACCGACTTATTACTATACTGGATAGGGTAAATCTTTGCCTTTAATTCCAGCCTTCAAATTGTCCAAAACGGTTGTAAACATTTTCAAATATGTGAACTCTGTATAAGTAGCAACATGTGGGGTGATGATCACATTTTGCATCGTCAAAAGAGGATGGTCTTTAGAAAGATTATCTGGTTCTGTTACATCCAGGGCGGCTCCTCTGATGACTCCATTCCGTAATGCAGCTGTCAGGTCATCATGATTGACAGTTCCACCACGACCCACATTAATCAGTGTGGCTGTGGGTTTCATAAGACATAGTTCCTTTGATGAAATGATATGCTTGGTTTGATCAGTAT